GCAGTGCAGTCTCACTGCTTTGCAAAATGAATCAAATCAAAGGAAAAGACGGGCACTGAGAGAGGACATGTTTCCAACTGGCAAACAGAAAAGAAAAGCAAAAGGCCTCCTGAAGCATCTAAATCCTCTTTATCATCCAAATGCATTCACACTTTCAGAAGGATCTGAGATGATAAAAAAAAAGATACTGACCAGATGTGTTAAGAAATAATTTGGAACTTCTCCAAATTGCTAAAAAGCAATTGTAACAAAAATCATTTTTTCTTTCTGGAATGAAAGAGACTCTTGAAAAATTAATGGTTGCAGAGACAAAGGCTAATGACTAATTTAACATAGGAAAATGTGTGCCTGCAAGTGCACAGTTTGAGTATTTTTGAGATGTAAGTGTGTAGACTTAAACAGCCCTATTCCTGCTCCCTCACTGAATAATGGAACTTATTTGGGTTAAAATATTACTATTTGGGAAGAGGCATGGTATTTTTTTATGCAGGTCGTTTTCTCATTCCAGCCTATCATGCAGCCTTCATGCACTCCCCAAATGAGGGAACAGCAGAAACATAAAGGAACACCAAGGTTGGAGCTGTTTAAATTGGCACTACTGGCAAAATAAACATCAAACTAAAATCAAAGTATTTTCCTTCTGCATCTGACCACTACCTGAAGCAATTCTACTTGGTTTTTTTTTTCCAAGTGCAAGTAAGGTGCTCAAGTTCATTTTATCTTTACACCAAATTCTTATTAGCTGGCTGAACAGTCAAGCCATTACTCTCAGTTACGTACTTTGGGGCTTTGAAGAAATTCTGATAGAGATCCTTAGGGAATTTCTCTGGTGGGTAAAGATCATTACTAAAGTACACCCCCAAACCAAAATAAATATACAATTCAATAAATAATGTGTGGGAGAAAAAGTAAAGCTCAAATCTTGCAAGAACAGACTTCAGAAACTCTTCACGCTTATATGAAGCACATCTCCAGCACAAACAAATGATTGGTTTGTGTTGTGAAGGGGTTTACTACTAGTAGGATAAACCAGAACATCCTAGGTGGAACAGAAAAGGGTGTATTAGCTGGATGGTTTTTGGTAGATACTGCCTTAAGAACTCCGATAATATCAGCAGGTGATCTACTTCCCAGGCCTCCCAGCTCCTCGCCCCCGCAAAAACCCTCCCCTCCCTGAAAAATGTAAGTTCTGATTTCCCAAATGGGATCCCTCTATTCTGAATCCTGCAAAATTCTGTTAAAGGCTTCTCAAAGTCAAGAGCACTGAAGGTCCGTGTCACACTGAGAAGAGGGTCTGTCTGCCACTGTTCTGACTTGCAGTTTGAAAAGACAGGTAAGCTTGAAATTTGAAATAAGTGACTGTCCAAAAAGATGGAAAGTAGACTTTTTAGATACATCTCTGCTTACGTCCAAATACCATGAACTTCTTTCCAGTTTGGAGTAATAAAACCTGACCGAAACCGCCTCCTTTATCACCTCCTGAATTCCAATTCTTTTTAGCTAAAGAAGGGAGGAATGAGACAAGCAGATTGAACTCAGGAGGAACTGTAGAGTTTATCTTGAAAACAGAAGTTCTGTCTTCTAAGTCCAAAATACTGAATAGATTTTCTAAAGATAATTTTGTTCTGGAGTTTCCTCTTGATGATGCTGGATTCCAATAACCCAGACTGAATTTTTTCATTATCAAAGCAACAATTAAGAATCTTCATGGTAAAACTCTTTTAAAGAGACATTGCAGAAAAGAACAGAAGAATGAGTCATCCAAAATGGAAGTTCAACTTTTCACTTTGATTTTTTTTTTCCCACAGGTGGGCACTGAATTATGTCAAAAGAGTTTTAGATATATTATTCTAAGGGATACAGTCACACAGCTAACTTAAACAGTAAGGGAAAATTACCACTAATTAAACTTTCACTCCAAAATCCAGCACTTTTGGTTCAAGATGCAAAGTAATTAGGTAGGTTGATAACCCCAGAGTGTAATTCTGAAGAACATATAGTATGTCATATAAAATAAAATAGCAATCTGAATACAAAGATAGTCTGAAATAAAATTTGAATAATTCTGTGTGTGCCAAGATAACAGAAAAAATATTTTGTATTTTTTACTTTAAAACACAGTGCTCACTTTTCTAGCATTCTTATAAAAAATAATGTGGAAGTAATATGTAACATGCACTCTTTGCAAGTCAACATTAAAGCAAAATAAATCTGAATTTTTCCTACAATATGCTCATATAGTAAAATTGATTAGTTTTTTTTTTCTTTAACGTAAATTATCAAAACAATCTTAATTATATACTTGGAGACTTTGGAATTTATATTTCTACAATTATTCTTTTATGAATGCACATTTATGTAGAAGACCTCAAATGAATACAAAGACACTTACTGGGCTGCAGATCTATGGGAGAGCAGGGGTTGTGTGAAGGTTAAGCTATTGCATGCTCTACTTGAATGAGTTTTCCATCTTAAATTCTGCAGCTTTAGAATAAACTGCTTCCAAATGTATTTTCTGTTACGAATTTGGTATTTCATTGGGCAGGCAGCTTAAAACAAACAGTATCTAATGAGATTTTTAAAGCGTTATGCAAACATACTATCTATTGCATAGTTATAAGTGGCTAACCACCCAGTAGCACACACTTAGGAGCAATTATTTATACCAATCACTACTTTGTATTTATTCCTTCAACAAAATGCACATAAATTATAATACATCATATAATCTCTTGCTGTTGCAAAATAGCAGTCGTGTCCCCCCTGCCTCCACTGGCTTATTTCTTGCAGTTTTGGGGCCTTTTTTGCTTTCTGGGTGGAGGATATCAGGTCTCTTAAAAGTGAACATGGAAATGACAGATCTTTGTTCTAGCAGCAGTAACAGGTGCTCCTGTAATACTGCTTATTACCCTATTCCTTCATTATTAGACATTTACAATCTGATCATATCCAGTGTCATAATGCTCCCTTTTAATTTATTGTACAACCATGATGAATAAAGAGACTTTTAGGACTAACTATTTCATAAACAAGAAATGAAACTGTTCCAGCTCAGGCATCTTTCACATAAACAGATGCTATGCCATAAACTTCTTTGTTTTGTGTCGCTTTATAGGGATGACATCTGTTTGACAAGAGATTGCTGTACTGCAGTGGTGTTGCAATTTGATTATAAATTGGTTCTGAAATAATTTAAGCATTCCACAGTATGAGTTAATAAAAGTTTAAAAGGAGAAATGTTTTCATTCAAGCCACATTACTAAATTTCATGTGGGGTAAACAATCAATTAAAGTGCATGGCTGTAACACTTTTATAAGATAATAATAGGCAAAAAATATTTTAAAAAAATCTCTAAGGTAATTAAATCGAAAGCAAGCAGTTTTCTCGAACAGGGGCTCCTCTTTCATGGAAGTTAAGTTACGAGATCAGGATATAAACTCTAAAACCACCTTATTAAAACACACTATTTTCAAAAGCAGATAGGCATCTTGATTTTCAGTCACCTTACAGGACTTGAGCTCAAAAGGTACAGTATTCCCCCCAAATCTGACAGGTTTCAGGCGTTGCAAGGTAGTTATTCCTGTATCATGACATCTTTAAAAATACTGGTTTAAAACAAGCAAAACATTGTCAGAAGTAATAGTCCAAGCTGTGCTCATAGATATTTGTAACCAGCTAAACTAACAATGTTTTATTTCCTATCACTTCCATTAAAACATCTATGCTATTTCTTCTGAAGAAAAAAATCCACTCACTATTTAATGGGGAACGTTCCCACCATCAGCAGACCCTCCCTAGCCTTTTTCCTGTCTCCCCCTGACTTCAGATGGCTTCTCAGGCTTAGGTCTTAGGGATATAATAAGCACTACAGATCAATTTCCTGAATTTAAATGCCTTCTGCATTGATGACAGCAAAAAGGAGTTCGGAAGGGTCATTCTACCTGAGGCTGAAAAAGTAATTAAATTTTAAGTTTCTAACTTGTACTCTGAAAGCCAGAAAAAGAGGCAGCGTGAGCTAAGAGAACAGAAGTAGAGTTAAGGATCTTATTCTATTCTGACATGTACCATGTTGCTTTGGAAAATCATTAATGGTTCAAGCCACCCACCCTGGCTTTATGCTAGTTAGTACCTTTTTTCACAAGTAGTTGCATCAATTTCAGTGATTACTTTCGCACTCACTGATCAGCTGTAGAGGTGAGAGTAGAAACACGAAATTTCAACTGCAATCTAAGTACTATTATAGTGCACATTTTGCTATCTAAACAAACAAGAGACCATAGTTAGGACAGAAAAGAGCTATGTGCACAAAATGGAAATAATTCAGCCCACAGTTGCTCAGAGGTGATATAATTACTAGTATTTTTCCACAGTGCTCTAAAATTGCAAAATACTAGTAATTACAGTGTTGCCTTCAAAATAAAAATGATGTAAATATTTTCGGTAACTTTAACTCACCAGAGAAGAGGATGCATTCAAGTTGCAATAATAAATATTGGGCCTCCAGGACACTCAAAGGATTTTAAGACCACATTTTCTCCTAAACTTCTAAATTTGGCTATTTTTTCCCTGTTTCACTACCTTAGCACATCAAGTGTTTAGGTTTTGTTGTTGTTGTTTTTAAAACAAACACTATTAAATTATAAGCAGATACACAGTAAAACAAACATTTAGAAAACGCATACCTATTGTTACCCTGGCAACCATTACAGATACAGGTTGCATTTTTAGAATGCCTTACATTTGTCTCTCTAGGGCTAAAACAAATGACTCATTTTGGACATGACCATACTTAAACAGAAATTTCACAGAATGGATGGTATTGTATGTATATGCTGACAGCAAATTACCACAGTGAGTTTAAAAAAAGGCTTTCTTTTCTTTACTGTAGGTGATTCGGAAAATACTGTAGCTGCTGAAGGAAGGAAAAAAAGATTTTTTTCTTAAAAATTCAGAGTAATACTCCATACCAGTTGTTTTTCATAAGAAGAAATACAAGGTCCAATTACAGGGGCTAAAAATATCTTACCTACCAATAAATGTCAGTAAGATGTCTCAAAACTGACTATGGTAAGTTTTGCACGCTGAAAAGAACATACATTTAAGGTTATGAACAGGCATGAAAACATTTCAGCATGAACGAGATCTTAAAACCAGTTTTATACAAACATAGCAAACAGAAGTAATGTTATGAGTGACTTTTTGTAATTTCAAGTGTAAATATAAACAGTACCTTCTCTTTCATCTACTTCGTTGGAAACTATTAGTTTGTTAGATGTAGCTGTTGAAAAGATATCTGGAAGACTGTGTTGTTCTCTTTCATGATTTCGCAGTTGGCTCTGAAAAAACAATTTCCCACATATAAATATACACTACAAACATACACTGGTCACTTCAAGTATTGCAATCATTTGTGACATCGTTACTCAAGTTTTAATGACAACTGTTATAAAATGTATGTTAACATACATACAGATTATCTCTCAGGTAATTTTACTAGAAACAAAACAAAGTAAATAACATTAATTAGTAACATAGAAGATTAATGAGAGTGACTGAGAGGATTATATGATTTGTGTTTATTTAGAAAATAAATTTCTTCCCCCATTCCCATAGATGAGTGGCAAACAGTTCTTCCTCCCAAATTATTATACTCCAAAAGCAGTATTAGATTAGAGGTTAGAGGACGGCTTGTGTGAAAATTGACTGAATTTTCATATTGCCTAGTGACTTAAGAATATGTTATTCCTGTTTCTACTTGCTTGGGGAAGAGAGGGGAGAGAGAGCCTTTCGCTACCCTACCTGTACGTTTTTTCAAACTAGGACTAAACAACAGTAAATATGGGAAAATTTGCACTACCATTGCCTATGAGAGTTTCAGTTATACAGCTAGATACTGATGCTATATATTCTATATTCCTGAGTACTGAACTGAGTATATAGGAACACACTTACCAGCACTAATGCTTAAAATAGTGACTATAAAAATGGTAGCAGTACATTTTTCTGCTCTGGTGTGTAACCTTTCAGATCTAAGTTCTACAGAACATCCAGACCAACACAACAACAGAGGAAAAAAGAAAAGAATTTCTGCTTCAAAGTGTCTCATGTTACCCCCAAATGCCACGATTACTTTTGCACACACTCACAACTAGCGGGCATGTTTGAGCATTCTTTTAAAGTTTCAACTATTATTCAACTATTGATGCTTCCATTTCTTCCTGTAGTTGCTACATGTGGGCAGAAAAACAACACGATATTAATACGTCCATAAGGTGGTTCTCAGGAAAATAACTTATGTGAGGAAGCAAGTTTATTTCAGTGGGTAAAGCAGAGTAATTATAGCTGAATTGTATATTCTGAAAGTGCTGCTGGCAATAATCACCAACTGTAATGACAATGAAGCCAGGATGTCAGACTGAATTAAGTTAGAAAGAGGGATCACCAGTTATTAAAAAAGTAGCAAAACAGGTTATTTAGCTATTATAAACAGGCACAGGAAAGAACTTTACCTTATAATGAAAGGATTCCTCACATTGCTTGCACTGATACATTCTTGTTTTGCAGTGGTTGATCATATGGCTCTCTAAATCCTTACTATTGTCAGCAATGTGTTCACAGATAGGACACTGGTATGGCTGCCTCTGACGATGGACTCTCAAGTGTTGTTTTATGTAGCCCTTATTACCACTGCTATAATGGCAGAGGCGACAGCGGTAGGGTCGATCTACATTAGGTATATATTCTACTAGGTTACTTCCAGGAATATTTGCATCATTTGCATTTTGGCATTGTGCGTTGTCTTGTAATTCTTTCAGTATGTCATCATCAGAAGCATTCTGATCCGTCCGCTCCTTCAGTTTTTCAATGACAGTGAGTAGTGACATACTGATGCCCATTTTAATTGGTGCTTCTGATAACTCTGGCCTTTCTTTCTGTATCTCAACTATTGCACATTCACTTTGGTTTAAGCCACTAAACTCCTCTGAAGGATTCTTAAGTGAGGATACCACTTTAGAATGAGCCATGCATGGGCCATCAGCTTCTCCCTGCCTTGCACCTGCATCCATGGCATCTTCTCCAGTCAGAGTCCTGAAGCTAGACCTTGTTAGTTCTGCAGCTCTGATAGGCATTGTAACAAGAGCTTCTGCAGCTAATGAGTGTAGTCGTAAAGACTCTGAATTTGTCCTTCTTCGTGCAGGAGGCACATTTTCATCAGTTGTTACATTTTTATTAGAGCTTAATTCATTATCTTTCTTCTCGGTATTATTCCATCCTATTATTACTTCTTGAATTTCATCTGAACGATAAACTTCATCAGGTTCTTCACAGGTAACATGGGACTCCTCTGAGATAAATTTTTTTTCTGTTTCAATGTCAGTGTTCATCAAGAAAGGTTTCTGTAAGACACTTTCTTCAGCACCTGGCAAACGCTCTACTATTACATTAACGTGACCCTTTTTATTTGGACTACAATTGATGATTTTCTGTGCTGATGAAAGTAGGCTATCAGTTACCATATTATCCTGTTCTGTATCTGATACAGTCTCCTCTAAAACCTCTGTAGTAGGAGAATGCACTACAGACTGATTTAACATCTCTTCCTCTTTTACATTTGTTCCTACTGGCGATTTACATGACAGTTGCTCAGAATTGCAAATCTGAAGTTGAAGAGAAGGTTCACTATGGATATCAAGTTCACTGTTTTCCAAAGAAAGAACAACTGTATCCACGCTATGAGGTGTGTGAGTTACAATTGTCTCTGACAAGTTGGTAGTTTCATTTTCTTCCTCAAAGATGGGATAGGAGCAATCAACCTCACCCGCATGTTTCCAAGCGTGTGTTTTCAACATTCTTTGCTGACCACAGGTGTACCGACAAATTAAACACCGGTACATGCCATACTGCTCATAAGTATACCATTTTCTCCTACCCATTTTAGGCATATGAGTAGACTGAATTATATCTTTACATTCCAGATTTCCTGCCTGATCAGTCCCTGATTTGACACTTCCTTCCACTGGCCCTTGCAAAAATGAACTTGCGACATTTACACATTGCTGCACTTTTGTCTGGATGCTATTTTTACCATCATTCTCATGGTCATTTTGGAAGTGGGATTCAAGTTCTTCTTGGCTTTTGGAAGCAAAATGACATTCTGAGCACATTAATATCACTTCATTTTTCTGCCCATGTTGTTTTATATGTTCTTGTAGTGCTAAGAGAGAAGGTGATAGAAACTTACACAGACTACACTGGTAGCACGTCACCTTTTTTTTGCTTTGCGGAAGACATTCAGTCACAAAATAATCTGCTTGCAACTCTTCAGTCTTTTTAGTAGCAATAACAGATAGCTCAATTGCTTTAGCTGGGATTTCACAAAGATTGTCTGCATCAAAGGACTCTGCAGAAGCATTGGGATGGGAACGTTTTTTCCCTATTAAAAGGCATCTTTGTGACTTCTCACTTTCAACTATTTTGCTTAGTTTCTGGATAACATGGATTAGTGGATCAGTTTTACATTTTCTCTGATCTTCACTGTTCTGCAGTGTTGGGCCAATGACTGTTTCAGAAATCAGCACAGCTTCCTGTTCCCCAATATTTGGCATCAATACTGCAACACTGCTTCCTTCTTCCATAATACCTAGGGGAAAAGGTTTTATAAAAAATTAAAATTTATACATGCACAATAATAAAAACACAACCCAGTACTATTTAGAGTTCTCCCTCTATTAAATATGGAAGCCTAATGTCACTAACTTAACAGAAACTTTCAGAATGGCTATATAAATAGCCAAAGATTTTGAGGACATTCAGTGGATAGCATAGATGCTATTCAATACAGCTGGACAGAATAATTCCAAGAGAGCCTCTAACTGCCTGCCTCCAAGTTGTACAAGGGCAAGATAAGTATTTTTCAAGTATAGGCTGATTAGCATTGTTACAGCTATTGTCTTTTTCTTTACAAGGACTACACATTTGAATGCTAGACACTTAAATATACCAATCAATAGTAACTGGCGTATTTATGTTTAAAAGCCATGATATGATACGAAAATGTATTCCTAACATACTTACTCTGATACACTGATGTCTCCTAAAGCAAATGACAATTTGCAACAACATAATTTACAAAAATAGGCTATTTTTCTCCTTGAAATGTTAGGAAAAGAAAGTAATTCTGGTATTTACTTGCCTTAGTCATTTCGCTATGACTATATTAAAAAGACCATTCAAATGTCAAATCATACTTTTTATTATAAATGTCATTTTCTAGAAAAGCTACTAATCGTAGCTTTTTCCACAATTTCTTAATT